AACTTTTTAAGTAGTGGTGTTAATTAATCGTTAATAGGTAAAGAATAGGTATATGTAATTTCAACTATAACATTGATTTATGCACAGGGAAAAATTTTTTCGATTTTCGTTTAGGTCACATGTATTTTTTTTATTAAGATGTATTCAAACTTGTCTGACTTGTGACCTTGAGGTGAACTTGAACATTGAAAAAATACTGAAATTCTAAAATAATGTTGGGATCGTATGTGATCTTGTTTTCTATTACAAACGTTTAAAGTAATGTCCATCGGTGGCCATAAACTGTCTAAAATGAGAAATAATAAACATAACTCGATACCTAGAAGTGGAAAACTAAAAGAAAACGTTTACCAACAGCAACCCGCCACACCGGAAGACATAAAGAATCGATAATTACAATTGTACGGCTATCACATCAGAGGAGATAGGAACATCATCACGATCTGTAATATTTGTATGGTATCTATCATACTTCGAAACATCTTGTGATTCTAGTAGCCAACGCTACCGCGGAAGCTCAGCCGGTAGACTCGCGCTCTGATTGGCCAGAGATTTTCGTTAATATCCCGTTAACAAAGCCTCGGAGAATTTTTTCGTTAAACAAAAAGTTGTTTCAAATCACCCCACGAATCACCCCTTTCAAGGACTTACACCTATTTTGGAACACCCTGTATATAGTATGTACTGAATAAAAATAATTGCGTAATATAATTAAAAGAGTACGTACATGAATCATAAAATATGTTTCAGAGAAATGCTAATAACGGAATACAAACTGCAAATGTGCGTCCAAGTGTGAAATATGACGGTGATAATTTTGTAATATAGAAACATGTTTATTTTTTTATGCGTAGATACATCAGAGTATCAGTATTTTTACTGGGTAAAAATATTTGTTCACCTATTTTAATTTACAATTTCTCCTCATTTATCATCAGCAAGATAATAATCCAAAATATGACTAAGGAGATTAATTCTTTTTTTAAATTTCGTACCATACTACAGTTAATAAATTTATCTATAAGGGGTTTGGGACAGCGGTATCAGAAATATGTTCATCTTCGGTGTCCAGAAAAAATGCTGTTTGTTCACACAGTAACGTCAGGCTGAATGAATGTAGTTAATAAATACCTTCCATAAAGGGGTTAACGATGAAACACGTTTCGGTGAAGTCATTTGGAAAAAGCAAAAATCGGCGGTAGTCCTTTCGGAAGTGCCTTTCGGAAAGATCGTTGCTTCCTGAATGAATTCCCTTTAAAATGGTTCTACTGAATTTATCGCCACCGAAAAGAACTTAACTCCTGTTGCGACGCAAAGTGACGATCTTTCATGTTCAACTGTTTGGATGTGTCGCGGTCTCGGAGTAAATTAATACTCGAAGTAGAGGATCGAACAGATAACGAATATTTACTGTATGTCGTATACTAACGAGTTCTTTATTTTAAAAGATGTAAAATTTTGTGTGAGTTCTCCCTTGGACTGTATGGTTTCTGTCTTTTATAGAGTGTATTTGAATGTGATTGGTCGTGTCTGTTGGCGTTGGCGTGGCGAAATTTGGCGCGATGATAGAAAGAGGACTGCCATTTTCTCTCCTATTCTAAGGGTGTCCTGGGATTCCTGGAAATTAACTGCTGAAAACCGATGTCATTTGGGTATTTACAGGTGGAAAATACGCGTTTGTCAGCTGTACACAAAAATCCTAGATTCTGACAGTTGTATGCTAGTAAAATTAATTGCTAGTTACAATGTGCTCGCGTGCCTCGATCGTTGTATCGTTGTGCTAGGGTGGACTGGTCATAAACGCGCCTCTGGTTTCTAAAGTCTAAATTGTTCGTATAGGTACAAATGTAACACTCTACTATTCCATACTCGCTAATTTATTCCCATAAATTTCATTAATCACGGTTAAAAAAATCGCAGTTAGATATGGAAACATTTTTCGCATCATTTCCATGTTCCAGCGAGCCGAGACTCCGGGTGGCATAAGTTCCCTCTTCTGAAACTGAAACGTGTCAGGGAAAAAGAGCACACATCGTCTGATCGTTCCGTAAACTCATGGAGTTCCATTAAACCGGAAAGAAGTTGCGGCGAAAGTTTCACGGTGAATATGATTCTCGTGAAAATTCATTTCAAGAATGAGAAAAAAGGAATCGATCGATCTCGTCCGATCGGATTTATTACCCTCGGGTTCTGGGGGTTTCGCCTGCGTTTACGAGCAACGGGGAAAGGATGTGTCAGAACCGTCATTGATCCTTCACCGCGACAGTTCATTCAGCTGGAGGGTATATTCCGAGCACAATGGATTAATTAGAAAATCGAAAGTACAATGGACCGACTAAAAAGTTACTGCGAATAATGAGGCAGCTTTTCAAGGGCCTGAAAAGTAGCGTGAGACTTAAGCACCTTGGGTACTCCTTATTCATTCCCCCCCCCCCCCCTCCCGTTACCTTTTTAAAAGACCATCTCCAACGTAGCGGCCCGCGGTGCGTCGTTATCGGTTAATTGCATTTCACGGTTCATTGTTCATACGCGGTCATTCGTTAAAGCTCGATACTAAATGTCACCAGCGAGTCCCGCCATGATTTTCAGCAACGACGAAATAACGAGAGACGGCGGTGCTCCTATAATTGGTGACAGGGTAACTATAGATGTCGTTAATTACACGGAAACGAGATCGACTTTAGCCTTTTGCTTTGAGTCCCCTTACAATTCCTGTTTCGTTTATTTTTCGCTACGTAAAAGGTATTAAAAGCTAAAGGGAAAAAGCCGATAATTAAAATCAATGCACGTTACATGTATACCCGTGAGAGCGTTATTACATACATGCATGTACTGAAAAATAGAAATACTTTCCCTCACTCCCTGCGTTATATCATGACCAAGGAAAAAAATAGAAAATACTTGACGAAATGCAATACTTAGGTTCCTTTATTTTAATACAGGATAGACGTACCAATGAATAAACACTTGAGGGGATTAGGCAGTCGAAAAATCGAACATTTTAATTGCAGTTTTCGATAGTAGTATCATTCCTGAAGAATACGCCATTTAGTCTGTATTAAAATTCATAAAATTGTTGATTTGACAGCTAATTTTGGGATTACCTGTCGACATACCTTTTACAGTTAGTCACGAAAGTATTCAGCTACAATTTTGCGGAGAATTGTAAGTAGGTTTGCAAATAAAAAAACTGTACCAAAATCTTTCTTTAATAAACAGTTCTTACGAAAAAACCTACTAAATGTTTATTAAAAATACGTTTTGATCACCCAGAACGCAGACGGGAGCTTCGATAATATGGTTTGGAAAATAGCTTCGAAGAGGACATTTAACGGTAAAAAAATAATAGAAATAGATACTTATTGTTGCGTGGGCGTAACATAATCTTCAATAATAGTAGGACAAAGTTTATAAAAGGAGGAATTATTTATTTCAAGAGGCGGAGTACTTATCTTTGACACATCCTTCTCCTTCCAAGATCGTACCACGAGTCTACATTATCTATGTTGAGCGCCGTTACCAGAACGACGCACAGTGGTCCGGATCGAAAAGTTGAGTGACATTTTTCTATAACTTTTGAACCATAAGGGATATTGAGAAGAAATTTGGAACCAAGTTACAAATAGGTTAAAAAAAAACGATAATAATTTTATTTTAACAATATTATTATTATTTAATGATTAATTCCCTAGCTTCGGGATCTAAATATTTAATTTTTCAAATCGAATTTCTTATCTCTGCTTTCTTATCTTAAGCACTAATAATTTGAGCAGTGGGACTAGGGGGAAATGATTCTTGTATGATTATTTACAGGAAGATGTACTGAAAATATTCGAATTTGTTAGAAAGCTAAGCTCGGTTAACTTAAAAGATATACTCTCTTAATAGAAAGAATTTCGCGAATTTTTCTTACCGCATTCAACGTTATTTTTTAAATAAAATATTTACATTAATTAGTAATAGAAGATATGATTTTTTATCGCGAAAGTCTGCTCTTCAATTTAAGAAAAGCAAGAGAAAGTATCAAAAATAGGATCGTCGGGTCATCGCATTAAAAAGAAGCAATTTTTGTCGTGAAAAATACTGCTCTTAAAATATCCTAACTTCAATGTTTATTACAACTATAATATTTATTAAATTGTGCTATTTTCGTCATTTCCGAGGTCCATGGACATTTAAGAAACAAAGTTCATTGATTAGATATCGATACGAGAATGTTCGTTTTTAGGCAAATTGTCACTCAGTTTTCCGATCCGGACCACTGTGCGACGGCGCCACGTCATCCCAAAGCCACTTGCTTCGACAATACACAACATTGTGTATTATAATTAACATAAATCTTCGATATGTATTTATTACATTTTCATTATAGCCTCAAATTAAAAAGTTGTAAAAAACGACCTTTACTATTGTCTTCGCGATTCCGACCAATTACAACTTTTTCAATTATTTTTTTTTACACATCAGGAGTAAACTAATGTCCCTAACTTCACAAAAGAACTCAAGTCATTTGGACTAGTTTTAAAGGGTGTACGAATACTTTTGTCCGGTACTGTACCTATTGGCCCTTCTCAAAAGAAAAATCGTAAAAATTAAGGACATTTGTTTGCTCACTACATCTACAATTTTCAAAACAAAATGTTCTATAATCAACACTATACTATGAAGCTAGTCATTTGAATGTTGGAAAATTGAAAAATCATTGAGTGAAACGTGTTTTCCAATTTCGTCTTCGATGCATTTAAGCACACCAAGACAGAACACTCTCGCGGCCATTCTTGTTATTTTCTCCGCTGTGCCCGTGTTCCCATACTATCCGGTGAATTCGTGTACCCGTGAAATAAGGGGTACTGTATCTGATTCGTGCGCGCATCCGGTTCACAGCGCAAACATCGCGTACCATTCGAACTCCCGGAAAACAGAAAGGTAAACCTCGTTTTCTTTGCTTTCAGATCGCCAACTCATATCCCGCACTGTCGTCGCAAAAGTGGTTGATTCTCATGGCAGCACGGAAACTCGCAGCCCTCCTCGCCGCAGTTCTACAACTTTGTTTATGTAAGTGAATTCACGATTTCCCTGACCGTTAGCCAAAGATCCAACCGCGATTTAATTACTCATTTGTAATATACGTATCTATTCCTCACCTAGAAATATTTTTCAGTCTTTCGACCTTTCATTTCTATACACTAAATATTCGATTAGTGTTCGAAGGCTTCTTGGCACTGAACATTAAATATTTCATAAACTAACGTCCATATGCGCATTGGCGTAACTAGGTAGGGGCCAGAGGAGCCTGGTCCCCCCGAAATATGTAAAACAACATTCGTCAGTTAGTAAAATTTTATGTTATAAAATATAAATACTTGTGTCGAAATGCAACACTCAACGCAACTGACGACAAAAAATTAAATACTCTCCTCAAACGTTAAAGTATTAAATAAAATTGTATTAGAATTAAGCTTTTTAATTTTAACATTCAACTGTAACTAATAATCCTGTAACATCGATTGAAAGGTCCAATGCAATAAAGAAACTAGCGCTGGAGAATGCGGAAAATATTTTTGCAGAGAAAAGCAGCAAATTGAGGCTTACATAGATTTTAACTATAGGTATCTATAAATAATATACTCTTGCTTTTAATCAATCTCCAATTTCATTTCTCATTTTTTTTTATTTTTAAGAATTATGTCTAATATATCTTTCTATTCTTAGTTTTAGTGTTAAATAAATATGCAAATAATTATTGTAAAATGTGTAACTTTATTATGTGTTACCCACGCACATTGTATAAAATACATACATGTGCTTGATGGTGAGTCTTATAGGCGAAACTCAGGGGACCTGGCCTGCCTCAGACAAAAATCCTAGTTACGCCACTGCATATGCCACTATCACTGCTAAACTTTATCCAAAAGTCAGCATTACACCTGAGAACTTCTCCTTGCCAGTGTCGCAGAGCCTTCGAACACTCATCGAGGATTTACTGTACTATCAAACATGTATCATATCGAACCTTAATTGCTACGTCATCCTTGGTCCTAATCAACTGTCATCTTTTCTAATTCTTGCCTTATCTCTACCACTACTACTACCTTTCAAGAACCCCACAATCAGAGAGCAAAATCTATCCAAAAGTCAGTCTTTCCGACTCAATCCATAGTCACTCAATCACAGTCCAGGTCTGACGACGTTATAATACACTTATTGTTAGTTTAAATCTCAGGGTAAAATCTTAGTTGAATAAAGGGCTGCACTTTACTTTACCGGACCAAAAATCATTAACTTTTTTTATACCTCCTGATAGTATACAACTTTTTTTAGCGTTTTAAAGGATTCGATAGATTTAGTGTTAAGGGCGGTTAAGGTTCGATGTAACGTATGTTTGGTTGCGTAGAAATGAAATGTCGGAAGCTGCATAATATTTCTAGGTGACGAATAGATAAAGGGGTGAGTACATTACTCATTCATTCTCGTCGAGCCATTTGTTTTCGGAAGAGAACGGACTGAAAGAATCACGATGATTCGATAAAGAAATCGGTATGGTTGAAAGACAAGAGACGATAATAACGCGGGGTGCGAACGAAAGGAATGAGAACAGGTGAAGGAGAGGCAAATTGAAAGTTCGTGTTCGCGATTGCATCAACTTCCGGCGGCTGACTTCCATGAGAAAGCCGCAGATGCACGGAGCACCACGAAAGCCTAGGCGTTCTCCCCGGGGTGAGAGTTGAAACTTAATTTTGCTACCAGTACCGCGAGTTGACAACTGGAATAACTAATACCGGATAAACATCGCGACTAGTCTTCCCATACATACCTGTCTAGGCATTTGTGAAAACGAATCTAAAAATATGTTCGCTCTTAAGGGGTTATTATACTGTTGCGTGGACGCGGCATGACTTCCGAATAAATAAAGGCAATATTAATAAAAAGGAAGAATTATTTATTTGGAGAGGAGGAGTACTTATCTTAACACGTCTTTTCTATTCTATAGTCGTATCACGACTCTACACTGTCTCTGTTTTGGCGTCGTTACCAAAACGACGTCGCTAATCTGAAGTCTCTCGCTTTAACATTATATTGTACAATACGTGCTACCTATCGGGTAACACGTAACAACACGTACCGTATGCTCGTACATACGAGAAAAAAACGTATTCACGAGGGTCAGAAGCGTTTCGCGTAGTCCACGATTATTGTCCCGGCGCGGATCCGAGTTCGGGACAATAATCGCGACACCCCTGTAGATAACTTTCCAAGGACTTAACATCCATTTTTAAATCTAAATAGCAGAGGGTGAGGTTCTGGGGGTCTGCGATTCCAAAAGTAACCCGTCCCTTTCTAAACACCAACACGGCCTGGCGCGCAGTCTATATTTCTATATTTATATTGTCTGTCCATTACAGTGAACGAGCCAGAAATAAGTACACGTGTCAGGGTACAAAATTGTAATCATTTTATCATCGAAAGTCGCTTGACAATGGGTCAGCCGAGTCAGCTGGAAAAAGCAATTCCAAGATTGAAGGGTGCGAAAAATCGATTGGAACCGAACTGGGAATGAAATTAACCAAGAAACTCCCGGTTTATTGTTGACGCGTTCATAAGATCCGACGGGAAGTAACACGAGCGCAGAGAGGGGTAGGAAGGAGGCCTCCTACTGCCTTGAATCTCTTAGCCGAGTATATCCGCGTTGCGGTAGAATGGCGCCGCAACTACCCTACAAGGGCAATACATCGTGGTAGTCGGGTCTAGGGGAGTTTGTAGAATCCACTTAAATCCGGCGTGATTTAGTTGGGCACGCGCAGCGCCCCGGACCTGAATAGCGGCGCGGCAGCCCTTCCAGTAAGTAACAGAACCTCAAGGCTTTTTAGACTGATAGGAACGGTTAAAAAGCTATTCGCCACGCCGAGCCACCGCTACTTAGTTATGCCACTACGCGGATAAATGTACTCTGTTGCAGTGGCCCGGTGCCTACGTTTCGCCGCGATTTCGTCCCCGTAAACTTATTTCGTTGGATCGCGAGAAACTGAATTTCCGGATTTAACAAGCACGCTTTTAACGCAATATAATTATACCGCGGAGGGACATCGACGGGGGAGAAAGATGGGGAAAGCGTTCAAGATTGGACGCGTTACGTTTCCTCGCGGATAGTTCCGTTGATGTTAAGCGGGTTAAGGAGGGTGACAAATTTCATTTCCCTGACAGTTCCTGGCCGTTTGCAAAGGGTGGAGGACTGGTCCCGATATCGTTTTGCTTAAGATATTTTAGGTTATGCTTCCTGTCTGGGTGTGTTATCAACGTTTATCTAGTTCTAGTGGAGATTTGAATGCTTCCGCGAAGACAAATCAATTTGCTGCATGTTTTTTTTATAAGATAAGACGAAATGTACGTTTTAAACAACCACTGCCACGGAAAGTTTCAGACTAATTTAATATCTTGTTTTTATTGAAGCATTCAAATCTCGTAAGAGATTTATTTGTTATACAGTGAAAGTAAATATACGTATATAGTTTATACAATTTAATGACAGGATTGTAGATATGATAGAATACATTAACACGTTTCGAAATTGGGTTTGATGGGTAAAATGGTCATAGGATAGATGTCCCAATTACTGCCACTTTAAGAGTGTAGCGTAACTTTATTTAATCGTTTTACGTGATGCTTAACTTAAAATTCGTCTCAGTTTTGAACATAATATTATTTAACATCTCTTTCATTAAAAAATATACTTTATGCATTAAATATAAAGAATTAATTGGGAATTCATTCAAATCTGCGAGCAATACCACTGTCCCTATAACTGTGCCTTAAAACAAAAATAAAAATTCGTATATGTTTTAACAATCCATTTTGTATAATAGATATAGTTTGAATACTAATATTACAATTTTTTCTTCGGTATAATATTTCCATCACTTTTTACTTACGTTGTCACGTTTCTGTCGGTCAAATTTGTCCTTAACGGTTTATAACTAATATTCGACTGTATATTCAAGTTGTAACACTAACGATGCACTACGGTGTCGTCGAAACGCGTCTTCAACTGATTGTGTCTATTAGATCGATGGAAGGTTATTTTCCTATATCGATCCATATTCAAACAATTACAATGATTCAATTTTTTTACTACTCCTCTCAGTACTTACATATTTCACGTGTTTATAACTACATCCACTATATACACGGAGGTTTATGAAGTGGGATGAAATTTCAGGACTTTTTTTTTAATTTTACAGAAAACCATGAGCGTAGCCAAGGGTGAGGGGAGGCACTCGTCCCCCCTGAACGAAAAAAAGTGGCTTCTGCCTCACTCTACAAGAAAAAAATTGGTTGCCCCCCCATCCTTTTAAGAGTTATAAAATTTCTGCGTAATATTTAATATTGCAATATAATTTGAAACACGACCAACAGCCTCTATCATTAAAACGCATACAGTTTCAACGATTTATAACTCTATAAACAAAATGAAGTGTGTCTGGCTACGTACAGCTTTTTTCACTATGGCAGTCGATGTGTTAATTAGTAATATGATATTATTTTCTTTCATCGTCGGGAAAATCAAAGTCGGACAAATGACAAAACAGTCGCAAAAAATGCATGGAACTCTTTCAACAAACTAATTCTGAAACCATTGCTCGATATTAATCAATATTAATCAATTCCAATATTCATCTACATGATATTCGCGATACCGTTCGAAATTCATATCTTAAAATTTCATTTAAATAATAATTATTAGCAGTTTCAATGATACCGATAATTAATAACTAAAATTTCATTTAAATAGCACTCAACCGGCAGGCACGCCCCGTAAGCGCTACAAACCGGTCGCAAAACATGTGCAGTAAAATTATGACAGAGCCGGGTGATTTACGTAGCCATGAAAAATTACGTTTAAATGCCCATTTTCCCGCGCAAGTGGTGGTAGGGGGTGGAGGGTGGAGTGGTTAACGCGCGGAAGTTCGCAAGTCAAGTCGTCTGGTAGCCCGTCAGCAGCGGACCCACTGGCACGTTTCTCGTAAAATTTACGAGCTTCTTGAGTTTGCAAAAATCCT